TTAGGGTCTTTTGGTCCTCGTGTGAGTATGCCCTTCCAGACTGGTGGGCTGAGTGACTGCGAGGTGCCGCATAATCGCAAATAGTGCTGGTGTATAGACTCCGACTGCCCTTCCAGTTGAATCAACACGGCTGACGTTGGAAGGAAAAAAAAAAAAAAAAAAAAAAAAAAAAAAAAAAAAAAAAAAAAAACCTCCTGGTGTGAGTATGCCCTCATCCAGAGGCCAGCTGGTAAGAAACAAGTAATTTTGCTACGTAGGACCACCCCAAGCGCGACCAGTTTGCGACTGCAAAAAAAAAAAAAAAAAGTTCGCGACTGCGGTCTGCTGGCGTCCGGAAGTGTCAGTTTTTCCTCTGGTTCGAGAATGTCCGGAAGCCGCCGAAGATCACGAGGGCGCCGAGTCCCACAACCAGTGTTGATTGTCCTCAATGCACGAATCTGGACGTGTTTTCGGATATGTGAGGTTGAAGAAAAACTCCACGCCATTTTCCGCAGCTCGACACAAACACGTCGACGTGTTCGGGCGTTGGGGAAACTCAACTCAACGCTGCTAGTGGGACTTAGGCCCCGGAGGCAGAGGAGCAGCCCGGTCGTTGTCTCCTACCAGGAGAGAGAATCCCGTTTATTTATACAAAGGACTTCAGTCAAGCCGTCGATCGTCCCCTTCATCGACGGTGCGAATCCGGTTCATGGTGGTACCTTAGCCGTGCGGAAAACCCGGCGCCAGAGGCGACGCGACCAGACCGAGCGCTTGGTTCTTTATTTACTTATCATATATTTATTTATATAGACATTTATATATACATATATGCTCGTACATATATATATCGTCAAACAGAGCTGCCCGGTAAACCGTAGCCACAGAGGGACAAAAGGGAGAAGAGCACCACAAACGCGGGGCTGTGACAAACTGTTTCGTCGGAGTTTCACCGACTCATCAGCTGGCTTAACCCTCAATAGTCTGCAGAATCCCTTGACTGATGACACTGTAAGTGATCATCCAACCCCGGGGCAAGGTCCCACTTGCGCAAATTAGGAGATTTGGGCCGTTGATCTTTGCCATCTACGGTCAGTATCTCTTAATTCGTGCAAGTGGGACCTAGCCCCCGGTTGTGGTTAAGCATCAACGACTGCCCAACAACTGATACCCTGATATTTATATATATATATATATACAATATTTATATATGAGTCGGTGAAACTCCGACGAAACAGTTTGTCACAGCCCCTCGTTTGTTGTCCTCTTCTCTCTCTCTGCCTACGGTTTACCGGGCAGTTCTGTTTGTGACGATATATATATACACATACGTACGCGTATGCGTACACATACGTACGCGTATACGTACACATACATATCGTTAGCGGTGAATCCGGTTTGCGCAGTCCAAACGTCAATCAGAGTATGGAGTTGCAGACAGCAGGGGCAAGGTCCCACTTGCGCAAATTAGGAGATTTCGGCCGTTCATCTTTGCTATCTACGGTCACTACCTCTTAATTCGTGCAAGTGGGACCCAGCCCCAGAGTGCGATTAGAGAACGAGAACGGCGAGATGTTAGCTCGCACCCCCTGAGCGGGAGAATCTATCGCATCGGAGTTCATTCAAGGAGGCTTCGTAGCCGTCGACCTTACTGGGTTTTTTTTTTTTTTTTTTTACACTAAAACTTTTGGAAGGTACCGGTCAAAATGACGACCGGTTAAAAAAAAAAAAAAAAAAAAAATGACGACCGGAGACCACCGTCACAGGCCTGGTTGTCGGTATTAAAAGTTAATTGAAGTAAGAAGGCTGAGAAAAAAACCTACTCCGCTTCGTGCTGCTGACTCTTGACCACCGTGTCGCCAGCATTGTTCTTAAGATTGCTCGCCGCCGCTGTTGCCTGCCAGATGTCACCGCCAATGACTGGGCGACACGTGAACGACGCGTGAACGGCGTAGCCTGAGCGACAGGCCAGAGAGGGAGGATTAACCATTTCTCGATTTGTGTTTTTTTGTTTTTTGGCTTTGAACCTTTTCTCGATTACGCTGCAGCGTGTGAAGCGTAAGTTTCACGCCGCCATAGCGACGCCATAGCGGCGCCATAGCGGGAGTGGCAACGTGAACGGCGTATTGGGGAAGGAATTCCATCATCTGGATTTGCTTCAACAGTTGATGAGTGTACCCACGGAGCTATAGGATCTTGGGTTATTGGGAAAGGAAAGGAGTGGGGGATGGGCGCACTATGACTTTGCGGGACGAATCGGATCGGAGTAACGCCCACTTGTGGACACATGTGGCCGCAATTACGCACAGGAACGAGTCTTAAAAGGCCCTGGTGCGAAAGCATGTCCTGAGCAACCGGTCAAGAGCGACCATCGAGCGACCGAGCGTCTCAACCAACCAGCGATCGAGCTTCTACAGGAACGCGTGAGCGTCTGAACGAGCCAAGAAGAGAGAGAGAGAGAGAGAGAGAGAGAGAGAGAGAGAGAGAGAGAGAGAGAGAGAGAGAGAGAGAGAGAGAGAGAGAGAGAGAGAAATGTGAACGCTTTTTCTTTCGTCAAGAAGTGCAGGGTTGCAGAGAGTGCAGTTTGAAAAAAGGAGAGAGGAGGGCAGCGATGTCAAACGGTGGCGTGGGTGAAAGAAAAAAAATGGACTGCAGCTTCTGGAACTGAGGTACTTAGTGTGTAAGCGCAAAAGGATGCGTCCTGCTCCGGCTGCAGTTGCAGCTCGAGACGCGGTTGACAGCGTTGTCCTTCCTTACTGCACGTGCCTTCATGTGGTGCGCTGCCAGCGTTGTCCTTCCTTGCTACACGTGGCTTCATGTGGTGCGCTGCCGTGACCCTCTTCCAAGGTTGGTGACGTGAAATCAGATCAGAGGCTCTCGATCGACTGGGACAATGAGTGTGAACCAAATCGATTCAACGTGTTGGTGATGCAAATGTGAAATCACATCCCTTGAAAATTTTATGCAACGTGGCTGAGATAACAACTGTCCACTCTCTCTCTCTCTCTCTCTCTCTCTCTCTCTCTCTCTCTCTCTCTCTCTCTCTCTCTCTCTCTCTCTCTC